GAGGGTTCCATACTAGCAATTTTATTTAAACAATCTTTCTGACTCAATGAGGTTTTCAGTGACTGTAACATGACTGACACAAACTGGAAATCGCTCCCATTCTGGTGCTCAGGACACAGAACTAAGGGCACCAACTTCCAGCCAGGAAACTTCCATCAGTGGCGAAGGCAGCCAGACATCTGCAGACTCTGTGGCTCCCCACTCTTATGGATACTTCCTTTGATTGGCAGAAAGGGTCCAGGATGAATTTCAAAGAGAAATTTTTCCTATAAAACTTTAGAAACACAGCTACTGTTTTGAGTTTTCCTCCAATATAGGAATCCATTTATAGTGGAGCTCAGGATCTTATTTATTTTTTGTCATGCTTATCCATGTTTGACATGATTTTAACTCAAGTCCCCTATGTGAAGAGCTCAGAGATAGGAAATGTGTAAGAGTTTTACATGCTCACCCAATTGTAGCTTATTTATCATGGAGTCCTTTGACTCAGGATACTCTATAGGAAATGAGTTAAAACATGCATATGGTCCTTTAATACAGTAATATTCTAAGGGCTGGTCCACAGTGAGAGAAAGAGCTTGTCTAGAATGGAAATTAGTATTGTTTCCTTCATTAAGATTGTCTTGCTCCAAGAAAAAGTCAGCTTAATGTCCTGCTAACAGCCAGATCAAGCCTTCCTATGCATACAGCCTCTTTGCTTCACTCTTGAAAGCCAGAGGATAAAGGGCAGCCCATTGCTGCTGTGGCTTAGGAAAGCCCTGGAACCTGTCTGCTTCTCAGACTCTGAGAAGGAAGGCATCAGTAGGGTGAAGGGGAAGCATGAGGAGGTGGGAGCATGGTGGGTGAGGAGACTAACCAAGATGTCAGTGCAACGAGGCAGAGGGTATAGGCTGATGATGCCCTCAGATCAATGCTTCAGGGTAGCTAGGGAGGAATGGTGAAGCAGGTGCTGGCACATTCTGGGTAAGGGATGGGGAGAGCTGTCTTTAAGAAGGCACAGGAGAAGTCATGGGTGCTCTCAGGGCACAGCCAAAGTTTCGTCTGAGACGGGAGGTATAAGGAAGTATAAGGGTAGTTGGGAGTATGAAGAGCTTGTGGACTTGCAGGGAGTGAGCCAAGAGGGTGCCATGGGAGGGTTTGTACAAGCAAAGTGGGGGATGTTGACTAGGGCCTGTGAGAGCACTGTTGGGGTGAAGGATTGGGTAAGGCAGGACTTCCTGTGGTACTAAAGAGAGACAAGAAATGGGCAGGGTAAGATAAACCCCGATGCTCTCCTGGAGGGGAATAGGAAGAAATTCTCAGCTCAGTGATGTGGAAGCTTCAGACTCCCCTTTCCTTTCAGCCCAGAGAAGTGGACTGTTTTATTAGCCACACACCCAGCAGGGTTGCTGTCAGTTAAATGAGATAATATAACGACAGCTGCCATCTGGGTTTATTCTTATTAAACCTATGTTTGGAGAAATATTTATATGGAACCAACTATGTTACGTAAAATAAAGCCCTCTGAAGACCTGACAGGAATACAAATACAAGTAGAAAATTGTTACTTGTGCCCCCAGTGGCTGCCAGTCTTATAAAAGAAGAAATGTATTTTGTTTACAGGGAATGCATTGGCAAAAGGACACCATTCAGGTAATCTGTAACCCAAGCCACAGCAAAGCAAAAAAATGCAAACAGCAAGAAAACTGGCCGTATTAATTATAGTTGTGAAGATGATGGAATTATCTATGACTTAAAAAACTTATTTTCCACCAGCTTTTTCCACTGCTTGGAATATTAAAAGGAAAAATGTGTAAATCAAATGCAAAAATGTTAAATACTTGCCTTGGTCTGGTTACAGTGTGAAGTAAATTAAGTGGCAATTTAATTCCCAATGACCATGTGACAACTGAGGAGTTAAATATTAGGTTTAAATAGGGCAGCTAATTATCCACAGGAATTATATTTATGTCTTTATGTGGGCAGTCTACCTAATGAACACATTTCTCTTCTTAAATCTATGCATTCCTACTAGAGCATGAGAAATTAATGTATGTTCTTATATTCATTAATACTATTGCTTATAAAAAGTCCTTTTGATTTTTTTCTCCCTGAGGTCCCAGAGGCTCAGAGAAGAATTCATGGATCAAAACCACATGAATTATCAGGGGAAAAATCTTATTAAAGTAAAACTTTAAGAACCCCTTGAAATTTATATAAAGTTATATCTTAAAAGAAATGATATAGGGTGTCCACCAGTACAAAATGGGCAAATATACATTGGTATAGTCCTTCCACAGATATTATAAAGTAGTCAAAGGGAAAGAATTACTTCTGCACACATAGTGTAACTCAAGCTCAACGGTACTGTTGACTGAAAGACAAGAAATGGAGAATATATATATAGTATGGTTCCATTGATGTGTATTCAAAAACAGGCAAAGCTGAACAAATTTTTGCTAGGGTTATATCACTGGAAGCAAAATAATAACAGAAATGATAGACACAAAATTCTTGACAGTGGCCATCCCTGGGAGATGAGTAGGAAAATGGATAAAATTAAGTAAGAACATAGCAAGGCAGCATTGCTTCTAAGGTGACATGAGCTGGGCATCTCTGGTCCAAAAGAATCAAAAGCCAAAATTCAGCACTTTTTGAGTACTGCCGTGATACCACAAGAAGATTCCATGTGACTTGTCATAGCAAAACTCAGGCACCTTTAAAGTACTGTATAAAATTGCCTTCAGCCTATATGTATAAGAAGTATATAAAACATATATAAGCCCTGTGTTCTGTACATGAATTCTGAATTCTTTTGTTCTCTCTCTCTCTCTCTCTCTATATATATATATATACATATATATATTATATATATATATATTCCAAAATCTGAAAAAAATCCAAAATCCAAGGAATAGTCAAGCTGTAATGATAAATGGGATGGTGGGTTCATAGGTACTCATTTTATTATTATTTAAGCTGCAGTTGTGCTTTATATCATCTTGATTTTTTAAACACACATCACAATCAATGAAAAAATTTTAAAGAAAGGTTACAAAATACATCACAGTACTGAATCTTCACTTTGTGGTTAATACCTAAGGCATTGCACAAGATACAGAGCTCACTCTGAACCTCAGAGAGCCTAAAGATTGGACTGATTGGGAGAGGAAATACAATTCAACTAAGCCAAAGGTATGAGCTATGCTAAGAGTTCAGAAAAGAAGGTCTTTCTTTGGTCATCACAGTGGTCTTGGAAAACCCTCTCTGGGAGTAAGAACTTAAGCTGGCCTTTGAAGGGTGATCTCAGCAGAGAAAGCAGGAAGATGATCATTTTGTTCTTTATGTCTTATGTACATCAAGTCTTTCATCATGTTTAATATAATTTATACTTGAAAAGATATGTTGTGGTATAGAAGGAAATACACAGATTCTGAATTCAGACAGACGTAGGTTCAAATTCTAGCTCTTCCATTACCAGACTGGATCCTTCAAATTTTTATATGGTTAACCATATAAACCAGTCTGTTTCCCCTTTTATAAAATAAAGACAGGAGGATTCCATAGGGTTGTGAAAATGACAGGAAAGCATACTGTTGACTTCATGTTCCATGCTCTAGGGGAATCACAGCTGCTCTGTAATGCAGTCTTCCCTGGTATTTGTGGGAGACAGGTTCCAGGGTCCCCCATGGTACAAAGGCCAAGGATGCTCATGTACCTTATATAAAGTGGTGTATTTTTATATAACCTACACAGTTCTTCTATAGTTTTTAATTCATCCCTAACTTACTTATAATAACTAATATAATATAAATTCTATGTAAATGGTTGTTATACTGTACTATTTAGGGAATAATGACAAAGAAAAATGGTTGGTATGCATTCAGTATAGAAGTAATTTTTTCTAATTTTGTTGTGTGTAGGGTTTTGTTTTGTTTTTGGTGTGGGGGCGGGGGGGGGATCTAAATATTTTCTCTCCAAAGTTGGTTTAATCTACAGATGTGGAACTGGCAGATATGGAAAGCCAGCTACAATATTGTTCATGGCCAAGTGGTTCAGAAAAGAATGCTGGCTTAGCCCAGGGGAACTCCCATGCTAAGACTCAGCATTTGAAGTTCTAACCAGTGAGGCACAAACTTGTACTGTAATTTTCTCTTACAGTCTCTTTTTGGGCCACTCTAGTAAGCTCTCTGCTTCTGTGTTGCTTTTCTCTGGTTTCCAACTTGCAGCCAGTGAGCTCTAATGACCCTTGATTGTCTCTTGTCTTGGATTCTGAAAAGGCATATGGATGAATGACTTCCACCAGTTCTGCTCCAGACTATAGGCGAAAACAGTCTTTGTTCTCCAGATTAACCCATTCTTGTATCTTCTTGGCTTTGGAGAGCCAAAACCAGGACATGATTTTAGAGCAAGGCTAAGGAAACCAGTTGTTACTACAGAGTCTAGACATTTCTTGTCTAAACAAAAGAAGTCACTGAGGCTCATCCATGGTCTATCCCATCTCATTAGAAGGCTCAAATAGGGAGGAGGCCTGTGCCTTAACTAGCAATGCATGATTCTTGCACTTTCCCCTTGTTATGCTGTGAGTCTGTCTCCTCGACGGTGTGAAATGGTTAACCAGGAAGAGGAGTTCCTGGAGATGCCTTTGACTTTCCCATTGGACACATGACTGACACATACATGCACCATGTCTGCCTCATAAGAGACTTGTCATTACTATTAATTTCTTTCTCATATCTCCTTTTTCTCATTTAAAGTTTATTAATGATATTTTGGAGCCAACAGCTAGGTCTTTAATTTTATTACAAACAACAGCTGAATTCTGGAGAAAAAGCTGATGAAACCTCCTGCCAGGCGTTGGGAGTCATAGATTGTGAGATGGATGGCATGCTTCTCCTCTGCTTTGCTCTGCAGAGAGAATGTTGGGCCTGCAAGTCCAGGGTTAGACCATGGACTCTCCACCCTTAGCCTTCATCTCAACATGCTTCAATTCCAATCTCGATTCTGTCTTTCTTTTACAGTTGTTCAGCACATCAAGCGACATAACATTGTTCTGAAAAGGGAGCTAGGCGAAGGAGCCTTTGGAAAAGTTTTCCTAGCTGAATGCTATAACCTCTGTCCTGAGCAGGATAAGATCTTGGTGGCAGTGAAGGTAAGAGAACATCCCAGAATGTGTCCTAAACTATGGTCACGCTACTCTGTGGAAATTTTACTTTATTTCATTATATTTTAGTGGCCAATTCTGTAGTAAATTATGTCTACTATAGTGGATGTGTTCAATTTCCCTTACTTGAATGGGCAGGTGGAAGAATATTTGGAGTACATTCAAGTATCATAGGCTCTTCTCAGGGGCAACCAAACAAGTTCACAGGCTATGAAAAGCTCTGAGCTATTCTTCCAAGTCCATGCTAACAAAATTCTGGATACATCAGTGGGTCAAACAGAAATCAACCAGTTAAGTTGTAGAGACTGGAACTCATCCCCTCAGATTGGTGCGATGATATGCACATCAGGGTCGTATGCATTCAAGATTCTCAAAGGTAGGACTACTAACTATATTTCCCATTCAGCCTCTGTTCTACCAAGTTCTTCTCTTGTCCTGCAGCTTGTTCCTCCCAAATGTTTCCAAAACTAAAAAATTTGATGCAGTGCAGGCATGATTGCATGATTTCATCAAGAGTTGGATGACATCTCCTGTAGATTCCACCAAGCAGCAAGAATAAAGTCCATCATAGTCCCCAAAACTTAAAAAGGAAACCTATTCTTCAATAATAAAACATTATTACTGAAAGGGACAGATTTCTAAAACATAAGGATTAACAAAATAATACAAAAGACTTTAGTAGATCCTTAATGTATGCATCATCAAAATTTTTTTAATTTACCAAAGTATAGGTATTATATGTCAAACACTTAAAAGGAACATGTATTTATAAAATGAATCAAGTGGCAAATAGATATGGACATGTCTAACACAAAAATTTAACCTTTTGGCTTAAGATAAGATGGTTGGATTTTTTGTTGTGTTATATTTCTTCCAAAATAAGAAACAGTTATACGAATGGCATTTATTTACTAGTTATAACCAAGTGAATTTTTCATTTTTAAAAAAATCAAGTATATATTCTTTTTCTGGTATATTCAGTATAAGCAAATAGACAACTAAGTAGAAAAATAAAATTATTCTTGAACTTACCATCCTAAAGACTTAATTATTATATTAAATTTCATCCAAAAAGAAAAACTGTGTTTTTCTTTCCTTGTTATTGAAAGAAATTATCCAGGGTGGCATGATAGTCCTGAACTCTCAGAGGAGGCTCCTATGAGCTGAACTTTTCAGTGAATAAAGGTTAGACCTTTCCAGAGGTGAGGGATCTAACAAGTAAATATCATCTCTACAAGATGGGAAAATGGGTGGGAAACTTGGGATGGGAGGATTGGAAAGGAGATCCTAGCAAGATGCGCATTCAAATAGGGTGGAAGAGGTCAAAGTGAAAATTCTGCAGTAGTGTTGGGGATACTTCCTGCTATTCCTATTGCTTCATCTTTGCTTTCTTTTAATCCAAAAATTGTTGTCATCTTTTTTAGCACAAAATGTTCAGAACATTTGGCAATGTTATATCTGCAGTCTTTGCCCCCCGTCCTTTTTTGAAAAATTTGACCAGAGGTGTTTTTATTTTTGCAAATCCACAGACTGATCAAATGTTAGAGCTAGAAGAATTGTAGGCAACATGTAATCCTAGCCTAACCATGTGCTGTAGACAAGGAACTGAAGACTCTACATCTGTGCTCTCCCGCTGTTTGCACTACTTGGAAGCCCTCCAGTAATCTAAGTCAAGCCTTGAAACTCTGAAGTTATTTCATAGTATTGCAAGTTGGACTGTGAGTGTGAGATATTCTGGAGATTAGGGAATGCTGGATGATAGTGTCGGAATGGCTGAGAGACCTCAAAGGTAGACCCAACACATTTCTTAGTGGTTGAGCCTTTCATCTTAGTGTCATCCCTTACTCTGTGCCTATGGCTCTGTACTTCCTGCAATGCCCTTAAAGAAGAGATCTTGCATAGATAAGTCCAGGACCTTCTCAACCTGTATGTTCCTTTTCCTTCTGGACATATGCTAAAACAGGACTTCAAGGATGGTATTAACAATGAGGGGTTAGCCAGCCATAGCAGTTTTTAGTCCAGGATATCTGGGCTGGCCTTAGGAAAGGCCACTTTCCTGTCCACAGCCTTCTTTTTGGGGGGCATATGTCTCATCATCATTGTCAGTGAGGCCCCTCCCTGGTACAAATCTCAATTGCAGCTCTAACTGCATCTTGAACTCTACCCAGGACCTAGTCTTCACATACCTCCTGGCTTCGCCAAATATGTTTCTGAAAATTATTCATGATGACCTGTGATGAATGTGGGCTCTTTAACCAATACCGCTGTGGAAGTGGCCTATATACCCATCAACAAATGAATGGGTAAATAAAATGTGGTATATGTACACAATGGAGCACTATTCAGCCATAAAGATGATAAATTTGAGTCATTTGTAGGAAAATGGATAGATCTTGAGACCATACCACTAAGTGAAATAAATCAGACACAGAAGGTTGTATTTTACATGGTTTCTTTAGTTGAGAAACACAAAATGTAAATAATTTAAAGAGCAAAATAAAAGAGAGATGAGAGGAAACAGGAAGATAAACTCTGTGGAGATGGGAAAGGAATCTGGGAAAGCAGAGAGGGGAGAGTGGGAAATAAAAATGATCTGGATGTGACATGTATACGTATCAAATTCCCAAAATGAGTTAATTATTATCTATTACAAACATACTAATAAAAATATTAAAAAGAAAAAAGAAAAGAGAAAGAAAAACAATGATTTACTCTTTTATCAAATCTTGGCTTCTTCTCTTTGCCAGCCCCCCTTTGTTTAAATTTGAAGGAAACAGCCATCTCAAACAGGAACCTCAGAGGGCTTGCAGATTAGAAATTCACTGCAATGCCACGGCCTTGAAGAGGTCCCATTTCAGTGACCTTGATTGAATGTGAACGTCTATTGAAAACAGCAGTTTTGCTTGCCTTAGCTAGAGTAATTTCTCGCCTCAAAGAAGGTGCCTGTTTCAACTGTCTGGAGTTTGGAGGCTACAGCCCCCACATAAGAGACAAGTTGGATCTTCCATTAGCTCCAGGGTGAACTGGATCAGAATAACCTATGGACCTCTCACACAGCTGCCTCTCTCCAGCCTGATGTGCTCATTTTGGGGGCTCTGGCCAACTGAAAGTGCATTCTAAGGCTAAACGAGCCTGGGAAGAAAAAGTCTGTGGTTCATCCATGAACACAACGAAGGGATATTATAAGGAATGAAGTCAACTGAATAGCTTCCGGGACAGTGCAGCCTCTCACCTCTGTGGAGTGGCTGCCAGGGTTGCGCCTCTTCCATTGGAGGCACCCAGACATGTTTGACAGCCTTTCTGCTGTTGCCTAGCAACCCTGGCAGCATTGATTATGCGTGCTAAGAAATAGCAGCTATTGTCCTTTTTCCTTCTCTAGAAGGAGCTGACTTCAGTTTGAAATGCAAGGCTTCACATTCAGATTGACAGATATCAGATTCCTATAAATTCTGGTGATTCTCCCAAATGATCTAATAGCTCAAGGGATCCGCAGGAAGTAGTTTAGGGTGTAAGTAGCTCAAAGGCATGTGCAGGCATTCAAGGGCACATGGGGATAAACATGTTTCGTTTATAGGTTTTGCCTTATGGGATTCATCTGGATTGCTTTTTTCTTGATATTTTGGTTTTTCAGTGAACTGGATCTGTCAACCATTTCTCCCTTTACACTGAATTACAATTGAAGAACCCACATAGAGGATGAGAAGCAGAGAACTAGTTTTTGCTCAAACCAAGTAGTGTTGGGGATACTTCCTGCTATTGCTTCTTCTTTTCTTTTTTTTAATCAAAAAAAGTCATCTTTTTTTTCCCTTTACCTTTAAGTAACTCAATCACCAAGGGAACGCTTTATTGCAGTTTTCCTGCATTAACTCTTGATGTAGGATAGCTATTTTTGGCTCTATCCAACCTGCATTTCAGCAATTCCTACAACATTTCCTTGAACTATGAAGGCAAACAGATTTTTTGTTTTTTTAAAATGTAGCCACAAGTCTGCTTTGTGGGATCTATGGCCTCACTTTCCCTTCCCTGATAACTCAGGTTTATTTCTAGAAACAGAATGCAGACTATAACAGAGACCTTACAAATTATACATATATGGGTATATATATCTATATATCTAGGAGATATATATATATGGGATAGATAGACAGACAGACAGACAGACAGATAGATCCTAAGGCTCCTATTTTACAGGTGAGAAAACCAAGACCCAGAGAGGTTGAGTAACTTCCTAAGGAGTAAGTTGAAAGAGTCAGAGGGGCCCACAAAGGAAGACTTTACAAAACAAATGGTGAAATCTGTGTTCAGCAGACACCTTTTTGGTACCCAACTTAGAACTTTTGCTTCTCATTCTCCTGAATTTCTTCTTCCCAATGGAGGAAATAATGGTGTTTTTCCCCAACGAGAGTTTTAGAAAAGTTAAATTGATGAATCTGGAGTCCTGCTCAAAGCAGAAGCTCACACATTGCTGCCACTATCATCTTTGGATGGCCCCTGGCAGCCTCTTGGTCCAGGCAACTTCCACTCATCATCAGCTCTCAGTTCAAGTTGCTCTTTGGAAGACTGACTTTTGCCTCATCCGCAGCCCCACAGCCACATCAGACCTCTATGACATATGCCACCGAGGCCTCTGTACTTGTCCTTTATGGCATTTGTAGGGCTTCTAAATTCTATATGCATTTGTGAGTCTATTGAATTAATGGCAATGAATGTTTGTCTCACTTATTAGGGTAAAATATTCTCCAGGGTAGGACCCATGTCTTTAGTACATTGCCTAATATATAGCAGCATGTAGTAAATGCTTATTGGATAAATTAAGGGATTAGTAGGTGAGTGGTGGATGGATACATGGATGGACATACTGACCATGGAAAAATAGCCTTTAGATAGAGTAATGAATTGGCAGTTGGCATTTCTAGGCAAGGAAATTATTTGGTGACCTATTGATAGTCATAGCTGAAAGAAACTATAATGATGCTATATAATAATGT